AAAGCTGCATGTACATGTACATGTACATACATTACAGTACAGCATATAGTACTATGTGTGGTGTACTACATGCAGACTTTAATTATGCATGACATTACATTATGAGTGTGTGGGTGTGTGTGTATATTAGTTACTTCAAATTGTTTGTACATATTATGAGCTGAGGTCAGTGTTGATACCAAGTGTATTCTCTCCTTTAGTGTCATTAATGATCGCTGGGTCTTTGACACCATACCCTCTAGAGTAGTCATCATCTGATGGAGAGAGAGAGAGGGAGAGGGAGATAAAAATTGACAATATACCGTATAGCGGGAAATTTTGGAGGAAATTAAATTTGGCAAATTGACGTCTTGATAGCATTTGCCAAAATAAAAATCAATTATTTTGAGCCATTATACGCATGCTCAATGGCATGTGGCCACAAATTCGCCAAATTAAATCTGCCAATCACCAAAATTTAGCAATTAATCAAATTTTATTCCCTCCAAAATTTCCTGCTATACAGTACATACTTTGTAAAGCTAACTTTAAGAGCAATAGAGTTAAATAGCATGTACACATGTGCATGTGCATGTACATGTACATTTTTTGAATATTACCATGCAGGGCATATGTATACACATAATAGCAATATTAATTTTATAACTAAATATCATTTAATTGTGTACATGTACATGTATAACACATACCAGATCTAGGCAGTTCCAATCGTCTTTTATTAAATTTAATAATCTTTGATGATTAGCAACCGTCAAACCTAAAGCAGGAGAGACAAAATTGTAATTATAAAATAAATACACTGACCCTAATATTAATTAACTGTACATGTAATTAATATTTATATTAACATTCAAGATGATTTATTGGCGAGAGTAATATTTCGTGAATTTGACTGTGGAAAGCTAATTGGTAAATTTTATATTGGCAATTTTATGCTACGTGCCATTGAGCATGCTCAGATTAAAACAAAATGGCTGATTTTATATATTTGCAATTTCTTCATAGAACCACCAATCAGCAATATTAATTCCTTCCCAATAAATCATCTTGTACGGTATATTATTTTATATTACTTGGTGATACTTCTCTAAGAGGTGTGGTCTCAGCAGTGACTGTAGGGGAAGGACGAGAGTAATGAGCATGAGGAGTTGGTAGTGTAGCTGATAAAGGGGCGGAGCTTGTAGGCGGGGTCACACGAGATGGGTGCAGCTCCACTGCTACTTGTTGTTGATCATGTGAACTGGTTGGAGTTAGAGTAGCAGTTGGTATCGGCTTAGGAATCCTTTTATTAGCGTACACCTAATGACAAGAAATGGGATAAAAATTGGGAGGTGACTTCTGTGTAATTTTTTGGAAAAAACTATGGGCTATAGTACAGGTTATTTTTCAGAAAGCAGTTTGTTCTTTAAAACGTCCATAACTCAAAAAATTGAAGTCAGAATCAGCTCAATTTTCTACAAAGCATAAGTAATA